AATTGAGAATGAGTTTTTCTTTAGCTTTTTGGAATCTGAGAATGACAATGACCCGAGTTCATCCAGTTTGCAGGTAATATCATGTTATAGAGTAAACACAGGACTATATTTTAAGCTGAAAAACATGCCAAGTCTTTATATAAAATGATGCACGAACTAGAAACAAAAAATACCATTAAAAACCCTAAGTCCTGGATTCTGTGTATTTTTAAATTAAGAAGTGCATTTCTAAAACAAGAAAAAATTTAATTTTCTTGAAAATTAATTATATATTTGAAATAAATGCCTCTGAAAATGAATGATGATGAGTGAAATAAACATCTCTGAAACATGAATCGTCATGCTAGTGACCTTCTCACATTCCATTTTAAAATGTAATAGTTATCCCACTTTTTCGACTGAGTCATTGCGTGCATATATTATATTTCCTGTAAACAAAAACAATAAAATAATCCTAAAGGTTGTATCTGCTGGTGATGAATTAGATGGAGATGAGTTTGACTGCATAGAGGACATCCAGTCAGATTTACAACGTGATTTAATACATGGTTCATATACTTTTTGAGCCGGCAATGAGAATAAACACATCTAAGTTAGTATTTGAGATAAGTTAGTATTTGTTCATATTTTAAATCTTATCATTAACATAATGTTATTGGCAACGTATCCAAGATTAACTGCAATCTAAATCCACCTCTGTTTTTGAGAAATACTCATCCAAAATGTAGAAATGGTTTGTATTTTAGCTTATAGAATGAAGAAAAAGTATTTTTTGATAATGCTTATCCCAAGAGTTATATGAAGCTTTTTATGTTTCTGAAAATTTGTTTTCATGGACCTGGGTTGTCACTCTCAAGTATTCAGTTGGGCTGCGTTTCTTTATGCAGCGAGAGTGCAGCGTAAATGACGTCACGAGCAGCTATCGCTACACGTCGCTGCATCACAGTTTAGAAACGCTTTCCGCTCGAGCGAAACACGGACGTCATAATCTATCCTTTAATTCTAGTTACAGCCGAAAATAGTGCTTTAGTTAAAGAACTACAATATTTAAATAAAGAGATATAAAGAATCGAGCATTTATCTTTCCATAAATGTGAACAAAGTAAAAAGATAAAAGATATATAATTTATTTAAAATATAGTATTTTCTTATTCTTTAGATAACTTTCAGAGTCATTTCATAAAATTTAATCCTTCTTAATCTTTCCATAATATTTTTATCAACAGTCACTTCGACTTTTTTATTTTTACAGCATAATATCGTATTATACACACAAGCGTCCATTTTGCTTTACACGTGTAGCGGACGTAAAAGCTGCTTTATCTTCGCTGCAGCGACCTCTTGCAGCAAACGTTTAGAAACGGTTCGCTACATTGCAGCGCTGCATTTAGAAACGGGTTTCAGAGGGTTCGCTGTAAAGCGCTTCTCGAGCGCTGCATAAAGAAACGCGGCC